GAGGCAGGAGACTCGCTTGAGCCCAGGAGTTGGAGGTTGCTGTGAGCTGTAATGCCACGGTACTCTACCCAGGGGGGCAGCTTGAGGCTCTATCTCAAAAAAAAAAAAATAAGAAATTAAACTATGTTTTCCTGCTGGTTGGTTTTAGATGGTTGAAACCTTGTATAATAATGGTGCTAATTCTATATGGGAGCATTCTTTGCTGGACCCTGCCTCTATTATGAGCGGAAGACGTAAAGCTAATCCACAGGATAAAGTACAGTGAGTGGAATGTTTATAAATACTTTTTTTTTTTTTTTTATAACAAGTGGGGCTCACTGACAGGAGAGGAGCTATTTTTGATTAGCCTCCCCTAGGACAGCACAGGCGGTATTACCCCAATTGTGCACTGGGCTCTTTACTATTAAAAATGCAGAATGAGGCAGGGCAGGACCATCTGTTTTGCTTGGTTACCCAGCAGGAGTAAATGGTTTCTCCATTTGGAAACAGAGGCTTGGAGGTTGTACATGTAATCAGATTTAAACTTAGTTACTCACACAAGAGGCTGTCAGACCAGAAATCTAGTTTATGGGCCACCACCACTCTGCCAGATGCTTCACCAGTGAGATAGAACTAACTGCCACTTCCTCCCAAGGTTGCTAGGCTAATTCAGAAAATTATACACAGAAGAAAGATGCTATAAAAAGTAGTTATTCTGTAGTCTCAGCTATCATAATGCCTAATGTATGTTTTCAGACTTCAGGTCTTAAACACAACTGAAATTTACTTGGGCAATGTTCATTTTGTTCTTGAGTAGGGGATGTGGGTCACTTCCTCAACAGTACAAAGAGTGGGGAATGTTGTGTCTGAACTACAAGTGAACTATTTTCTTTTTGTTTTCAAACCAGTCCCAATAAAGCGGAATTCATCAGAGCCAAGTATCAGATGTTAGCATTTGTCCATCGCTTGCCCTGCCGGGATGATGATAGTGTGACTGCCAAAGATCTTAGTAAGGTGGGTCACACCTTTCAAAACCCTAAAAGAGCTAGCTGAGACAGCATATTGTTTTATTTGAAAATCTAAAAAAACCTTCAAAGGAAGAAAGGAAAACAATTCATTTCTGTGCATTAAATAATTAATAACAGCTTTTTTGTACAATTGGTCTCCTCTTTAATCTTAATTCAAATGGTAGTCATTCATGTCAGTGAGGCTACATAGGCAAAGAGGAAAAGTAAGTATCTAGAAAACTATTTGTGTTTTTCAAATATGGTCTTTAAACTATATTTTGATAAGTCTTTTTGTTTAACTTTGAAATAGGGGCTCAGCGCCCATAACTCAGTGAGTAGGGTGCCAGCCACATACAACAAAGCTGATGGGTTTGAGTCCAGCCCGGGCTTGCTAAAATAACAATGACAACTGTAACCAAAAAATAGCCGGGAGTTGTGGCAGGCACCTGTAGTCCTAGCTACTTGGGAGGCTGAGGGAAGAGAATCGCTTGAGCTTAAGAGTTTGAGGTTGCTATGAACTATAAGCTATGGCACTCTACTGAGGGTGACATAGTGACACTCTGTTTCAAAAAAAAGAAAACAAACAAACAAACTTTGAAATAGGAACTATTTAGAGTTTGTTTCTAAAAGGGAATAGAAAGTTTGCAGGACAATTGATTATTTGTCACAACTAGAAAAAGAACTAAAGGAAGAGGGCTTTTTCAGGTTTCCAGGTTGCAGACTGAGTAGGAAAGCAATGTGTGACTCAAAGCTATAGTGCACAGAATGGCTTATCATAGCTGCAATATGAGTAAACAGCTTTCTTTATGTGGGCTTTCACATGTTTTTGAGAGCTGTGGTAAGAAATGCATATATATTAGTAATTTTAAAGTGCTGCTTTTGACAAATGGTTGTTTGTACACAGAGTGGACACTCATTTTAAATTTTGCATAGAAATGTATATAATTGGCTGGATGCTCAATGGTCAGAGCACCAGCCCGAGAACTGGGACAGGCAGGTTCAAAACTGGCCCAGGCCTGCTGAACAAAAAAAAAAAAAAGAAAGAAACTTATATAATTGTTACTTTCATTAATTAGTAAGACTTAGTGGTAGTTTTAACCAAACTTTTGAAAAATTAATTAGCCCCAGGCCCGTCACAGTGGCTCATGCCTGTAATCCTAGTACTATGGGAGGCCAAGGTGGGTCAGTTGCCTGAGGTCAGGAGTTCAAGACCAGCCTGAGCAAAAGCGAGAGCCTGTCTCTACTAAAAATAGAAAAACTGAGGCAGGATGATCTCTTGAGCTCAAGTTGGAAGTTGCTGTGAGCCATAAGGCCAGGGTGCTCTATCCAGGGTGACAGCTTGAGACTCTATCTCAAAAAGAAAAAAATTAATGAACCCCAGATGCAGTGGCACGTGTCTGTAATACCATCTATTTGGGAGGCTGGGAGGTGGGAGGTGGGAGCCCAGGAGTTCAAGTTTGGCCTAGACAACATAATGAAATCCCATCTCTCAAGGGAAAAGAAAGGCTATATAAAAAAGAATCAAAACAAGACTTGAATACATAGAGTAGATTTTTCCATTCCTCTGATAAGGGTTATTGCATCTTGGACAACTCTAGATTAGACTTAAAAGAAGGCAGCCAGTAGGGGGTATAGCTTGAAATTCTAGTCTGTCAGGCTTCAGAGCCATCTGCAGCCATGTCCTCATACAGTACTGCCTATTACTCAAGTGCTGGTTGTACTGCTGTCTTAGACAAGTCATGCATTTGGGCAGGTCAGCCTTGACAGCCCTAATTTCCTTATAGTAAAATGGTTCTGACCCCACCTTGCAGCCCAAGTGTGATCATGACCAGCAAAGAAAAGATTGCTCCATCCACCTTACTGAGCCAAACCAAAATTGTGTGTTACTGGCTTGGCGCCTATAGCTCAGGGGCTAGGTTGCCAGCCACAAATATCAGGGCTGGCAGGTTCAAACCCTACTGAGGCCTGTCAAACAACAATGACAACTACAACAAAAGAATAGCCCGCATTGTGGCGGGCATCTGTAGTCCCAGCTAACTGGGGGGCTGAGGAAAGAGAATACCTTAAGCCCAGAGATTGAGGTTGCTGTGAGCTGTGATGCCACAGCTCACAGCAACCTCAAGGGCGATAACTTGAGACTCTTAAAAAAAAAAAGTATGTAATATAATGTATAATAAAATGGTCTGTCAGCTGCCCTAATACATCTTTCTTTATGCTTCTAACAAATATTTCTTTTTTATTTTTTTCAGCAACTACATTCAAGCGTGAGAACAGGGAATCTTGAAACCTGTTTGAGACTGTTATCTTTAGGAGCACAAGCCAACTTCTTCCATCCTGTAAGAAAACATGAATTATTAAGATATTAAATTAAAACTGAGTTATGGTCATGAAGGCTTTAATTTGCTTTTTTGTTTACTTTTTATTAATGATTCTTAGGAGAAAGGAAACACCCCACTCCATGTTGCCTCCAAAGCAGGACAGATTTTACAGGCTGAATTATTGGCAGTATATGGGGCAGACCCAGGCACACTAGATTCTAGTGGGAAAACTCCTGTTGATTATGCAAGGTAAAAGACCTACATTTTTGCCATTTCTCACTGTCTGTAATTTTTTATGTTGAGTATAATTGTTGTTACTTTAGCTAAATTATGTATGATTAACATTTAACCAGCCCATTCACAGGGGTTCACATCTGTAATCCTAGCACTTTGGGAGGCCAAGGTGGGAGGATTGCTTGAGGTCAGGAGTTTAAGAACAGCCTGGGCAGTGGGTCTCTACAAAAGAAAAAAAAAATTATTTATTTATTTTTTTTTTGGGAGACAGAGTCTTAAGCTGTTGCCCTGGGTAGTGTGCTATGGCGTCACAACTCCAGGCAACTTCAAACTCCTGGGCTAAAGCGATTCTATTGCCTCAGCCTCCCAAGTAGCTGGGACTACAGGCGCCCACAACACCTGGCTATTTTTGTTTTGTTGTTGCCGCTGTTATTGTTGTTTTAGCTGGCACGGGCCAGGTTTGAATCCTCCAGCCTCAGTGTACATGGCTGGCACCCTACCCACTGAGCTATGGGTGCCACCAAGAAAAAAAATTTTTTTTTGCAGTTTTTGGCCGGGGCTAGGTTTGAACCCACCACCTCCGGCATATGGGGCCAGCACCCTACTGCTTTGAGCTACAGGCACTGGCCCCCCCCCCATTTTTTTTTAATTAACTGGGCATGGTGACATATACCTATAGTCCCAAATAATCGGGAAGATCTCTTGAGGCTAAGAGTTTGAGGTTGCCTTGAACTATGGTGCCATGGCACTCTAGCCAGGATGACAGAGTCAGACTCTGTCTCACAAAAAATAAGGAAAAGAAATTTTTTTAGTAGTTTGTGAGTCTTTGAAGAAGGTTGAATTTGAATGTATGAAGAAGGGGCACAAGTGCTCCAGGTGAGAGGAAAGGAGCAGCTTAGCTGCCCAGTGCAGCAGGAGGCCTGCCTGGGAGAGCAAAGTAGAGTGACCACAGGAATGCTGTGCAGATTGAAGCCTGTGACCGGCACCACTGTTTCATATAGTACTACAAAAGAAAAAGTTCAGCCAATTAAATTATTTATTGACATTTGTAGGCTATTTCCTGATTTTGCATGTTTTGAGAAATGAGGGGGTGAAAAGATATGCATCTTAAAAAATCAAAGCTATGTGGTAGTTTGGAGCATTTTATATAGTGACTTGACTGGGCAGAGAAACTGGCTGAAACTAGATTTTATCTTAGAAGAGGAAGAGAGCTCATAGTTGATGATGTTTATTATCACTTCTTATAGAATTTTTATTCGTATGCCTTATTGCTAAAAGGATTCCAAGCAGCTTAAATATTTATTTGATGAATGAAGAAAGGAAACTTAATAATCTCTGTTACAGAAATTGGGGGATAAAGAGGCAACAGTAGCTGTTGATGTGAGCTATTCATTAGATTGGTCTGTGCCTGATTTGAAGTCCTTGAAATAATTAATAAACTCTTACCCAGAGTCAAACTGGCTGCATCAGAATCATCCTGGAAAAGATCCTTCTTCAAAATATTAATGACTGGGACCATCCCATCCTTACTAATTCAGAATTTCCAAGGATGGGGCTTGGACGTTATATGTTTCTAGGAACACTCTAGTTAATTTTTGAGAACTTCTACCCTAAACTATTGACTCACTTTATTTTCTTACCTCATTAAATGAAGTCACGTTTTATCCCTCTCATAATCCTTTGAATTCCTTATGAAGTATTCTGTTTTGTGCATTAATAACAGAATAGGAATACCTCAGATGGTGGAAAGAGTTTATAAAGGTGAGACTCAAAGCAGACTTCAATAGTCTACCATGCACAAAAAGGCTGATTATTCTAAAAAGACAATGTTTGAGAAACTGCTCAAGTGTCTCAGAAGATGTCTTTGTACCTTTCTCTTCTAAAACCAATGAATGGTGAGCAGTATAAATGGCGCTTTGTTTTCTTTTGGTAGGCAAGGAGGGCACCATGAGTTGGCAGAACGCCTCGTAGAAATACAGTATGAGCTGACGGACAGACTAGCCTTTTATCTCTGTGGCAGGAAACCAGGTGAGTGAAAGGATAACTACTGCTCCATACCTCCAGTCAGGAATGTTCTGGAAAAACAAGTTGGGACAGGGCGGTGCCTGTGGCTCAAAAAGGTAGGGCGCCGGTCCCATATGCCACAGGTGGTGGGTTCAAACCCAGCCCCAGCCAAAAACTAAAAAAAAAGAAAGAAAAGACAGCGTCTGTGGGTCAAAGGAGTAGGGCGCCAACCCCATATGCTGGAGGTGGCAGGTTCAAACCCAGCCCCGGCCAAAAAAAAAAAAAACCAAATTCGACCCTCTTTTTATGACTTCCTTCACTTTAACATATCCTTGAAATGTTGTGAATGTGGGTTTTTATTTGAAATGATGACTGCAGAATTTTCTCTTATATGTAAAAGGTATTTTGTTCAAATCTTCTTGAATTTTTAGTTTTTAAAACTTTATTTCAGCTGTAGAGGATTGGCTCTTTCTAGAGTTAGCATAATTGAACCAAAATTGAATGTTTACCACAGTTCTTGAATATAGGGGCTAGGAATAGAAGAACAAAGCTGTAACTCTTGTAGTTTTTTGAAGAGTTCTGTCTAAAAAAAGGGAAGAAGTTCAAAAGTGAACTTTGCCATCAGCCAACTTGGTTATTTGTGATATGGAATAGCAGTTAGCAAACCATGGTCTGTGGGCCAAATCCAGCCTATCACCTATTTTATTCCTTGCAAGAGAGCTGTGTCCACTGATTTACATCTAGTGTATGGCTGCTTTCGCACAACATGGGCAGAGTGGAATAGGTTAAGTCGTTGCAGCAGAGGCCATAAGGTCCTATAGCCTAACATATTTACTATTTGGCCCTTAATAGAAAAAGCTTGTCAACTCCTTGTTCATAATATCTACAAACAGGTATGCAGTGGTTCTCAGTCCTGATTGCACAACAGAGTTAAAGAGTCCCTGTTGTGGTTCCAGTTCTGGGTGAGAGGGAAGTAAGCACACCCCACTGTGTCTCTCCTACTGAATAGAGAGACCCTGGACCATATGCTTCTAGCTATCTAAGGACTGGAAGGGTAAATCCTAAGTGGTGAACTATGGAACTCAAAACATCATCAAGCTGGTGGTTAGTGTCTTATTAATTGTGTTCTGATACGGCTTCAATGACAGCCTAAAACCTGGAACTGCATGATAGGCCTCTTTCTGGTGGTAGGAAGAGGGACTTTTGCAGGACAGAGAATAAGGGGATTCCCCTGGGGCTTTTCCCTCTTCCTTCTTTTTTCTGATCTTTCCTGTCCTAGTCCCTAGGCAAGCCTTTGGCTGCAATAACAGTAGTGGCTGTGCCAGCACAGGTGCCTAAATCTCTGACCTAGGGGAAGAGAGAGGTCCTTATAGCTTTTCTTGTTTTCTGTTCTTTCACTAGTTTCTGGGAGGCAAAACCTAACCTGGTAGTTCCATGTTAAAACAAAAATACTAACATTCTCTATAGAGCTTAAAGAAGACTCAGGTACAACATAATATTCAAAGTGTCCAGAATACTATCCATGGGCCATGCACAGTGGCTCATGCCTATAATCCTAGCACTCTGTGAGGCCAAGACAGGTGGATTGTTTAAGCTCAGGAGTTCGAGACCAGCCTGGGCAAGACCCTGTCTCTACTAAAAATATCCTCCCTCCCACTCAGGAGACTCAAGCAAGAGTATCACTTGAGCCCAAGAGTTTGAGTTTGCTGTGAGCTATGATGACACCATAGCACTCTACCCAGATCAATAGAGTCAGACTTTGTCTCAAAAGGAAAAAAAAGAAAAGAAAAGAAAAAACCTTCAGAATATTGTCCATAATGACTTGACATATGAAGCACCAGGAAAAGCTCATGGCCTTGCAAGGGAAAAGCAATCAAGAGACGTACCAAGGCCAAGATGACACAGATGTTTGAATTATCAAAGATTTTAAAGCATCTAGTCCTTTTGTATGACTACTCTTAGAGAAGTAAGAGGGAACATTCTTGAAATAAATAGAAATATATAAAGTCCCAGGAGAGAAATAGAAGATACAGAAAAGAACCAAATAGGAAAGTTAAAAATTGAAAAATACAGTAACTTGGGCAGCTTCTGCGGCTCAGTGAGTAGGACACTGGCCCCATATACCGAGGGTGGCAAGTTCAAACCTGGTCCTGGCCAAACTGCAACAAAAAAATAGCTGGGTGCTGTGGCAGGCGCTTGTAGTCCCAGCTACTTGGGAGGCTGAAGCAAGAGAATCGTCCAAGCCCAAGAACTGGAGGTTGCTGTGAGCTGTGACGCCATGGCACTCTACCGAGGACAACAAAGTGAGACTCTGTCTCTTAAAAAAAAAAAAGGAAAAATACAGTAACTGAAATTTTAAAGCTCACTGGATGGGCTCAATAGCAGAATGGAGATGACAAAGAAAAGTCAGTGAATTGAAAGTAGAAGCCAGGCTTGGTAGCTCACTCCTATACTCCTAGCACTTTGGGAGGCCAAGCCAGGGGGTCTCACTTGAGGCCAGGAGTTTGAAACTAGCCTGAGCAACATGGCAAGACCCTATCTACCAAAAAAATAGAAAAATGAGCTGGGTGTGGGGTGCTCATCTGCAGTACAGCTACATAGTAGATGAGGCAGGAGTATCACCTAAGTCTGGGAGTTGAGGTTGCAGTGGGCTGGTATGCCACTGCACTCCAACCTGGGCAACAGAGTGAGACCCTGTCTCAAAAAAAAAAAAAAAAGAAAGAAAAGAAAAAATCAATGACTAGACACTATCTAGTTTGAACAACAAAGAATTTAAAAAAGAAAGAAAACTGAACAGAGGCTCAAGGACCTTTGAGAAGATACCAGAAGTTCTGAGATTGTATCACTGGGCTCCTATAATGGGATGAGGAAAGAGTATGATATGAAGAAAAATATTTGAAGAAGTATTGACAAAACACTAAATCTGGTGAAAGACATAAACTTACCCATTTAAGAACCCTCAGCAACCCCCTGAGGATAAACAAATTGACATTTGAGACACATTAAAACTTAAGTTAAAGAAAACTTAAGAGAAGCAGCCAGGAAAAAAACAACACATTGTATATGAAAAAGCAATGGTTTGGATGATTTTGGATTTTTCATCAGAAACCATGGAGATGAGAAGGAAATGAAACAGTATTTTTAAAGTGCCAAAAGGAAAGATCTATCCACCCAGAACACTGTATTCAGTAAAAATAACCTTCGGAATGAAATCAAAACAATGACATTCTAAGGTGAAGAAAAAATAATAGAATTAGTTCTAACAGAAATGCCAGAGAAAGTTTTTTGGGTGGAAGGGAATGATATCAGAGGGAATCTTGGATATTTAGGAATGAAAGGACAACATAAATGATAAGTATCTGTTATATTTATCATCTCTAATGATGGTGGATCATCTCTAAATATAGTGGACTGTATTTTTCTCTTAAGTTCTTTAAGATATTGTACAGCCTGGCTCAGTGCCTGTGGCTCAAGTGGCTAAGGCACCAGCCACATACACCTAAGATGGCGGGTTCGTATCCAACCCGGGCCCACCGAACAACAATGACGGCTGCAGCCAAAAAAAAAAGAAAAATAGCCAGGCATTGTGGTGGGCGCCTGTAGTCCCAGCTACCTGGGAGGCTGAGGCAGGAGACTCACTTGAGCCCAGGAGTTGGAGGTTGCTGTGAGCTGTGATGCCACAGCACTCTACCCAGGGGGACAGCTTGAGGCTCTGTCTCAAAAAAAAAAAAGATAAGTACAACAGTTGAAATCAAAAGTTGTAATGTCCATCTGGGCATTGTGTTGGGCTCCTGTAGTCCCAGCTACCCTGGAGGCTGAGACAAGAGGATTACTTGAGCCCAAGAGTTTGAGGTTGCTGTGAGCTACAATGCCACAGCACTCTACCCAGGGTGGCAGAGTGAGACTCTGTCTCAAAAAAAAAAAAGTTATAATATCATCTATTGGGGTTTTCAGCATATGTCAGTGTGATACATTGGACAACTACAACATAAGAGGAGAAAGGGTAAAAGAAATATAATGGTAAGATTTGTGCATTCTACTTGAAATGGTAACATAATATTTCTAAATAAGCTGAAAAATTAAGTATAGGGTGGACATAAAGTTCTTGTGGAATTTATGTATTTATATTTATTCATTTATTTTGAGACAGATTTTTACTTTGTCGCCCTCAGTAGAGTGCTGTGGAGTCATAGCTTATAGCAACCTCACACTCTTGGGCTCAAGCAATTCTCTTGCTTCAGCCTCCTGTGTAGCTGGGATTACAGGCACCCGTCACAATGCCTGACTTGTCACAGATCTCAAACCTATGAGTTGAGACAGTCCACCCACCTCAGCCTCCCAGCATGCTGGGATTATAGGTGTGAGCCACCTCACCTGGCCTCAGTTCATGTGGAATTTAATTGGTAAACTAATTTAAATTCCACACAAAGTTTATGTCGACCCTTTTTATATCTGTTGCAATTACTAGCACAACCACTCAAAAGAAAGATTATGGAAAGATACATGGCAAAAATCTCTAGAGATAAAATGGAGTGTTTAAATTTACTTAAATAATCAAAAGATAATTTTGATTCAAAAGAAGAGAGGAAAGGGGAAAACAAAAAACTAAACACCAAATAGTAAATAAACAATAAAACAATAACCTAAATCTGTACATCAATAATTATGTTAAATGTTAATGACCCAAACATAACAATAAAAAGATGGAAATTATTAGAATGGATTTTTTTTTTGAGACAGAGTCTCACTCTGTCACCCTTGGTAGAGTGTCATGACGTTATAGCTCACAGCAACCTCCAACTCTTGGGCATAAGGGATTCTCTTGCCTCAGCCTCCCAAGTAGCTGGGACTACAGGCGCCTACCACAACGCCCAGCTATTTTTTGTTGCAGTTACCACTGCTGTTTTAGCTGGCCGGGGCCAGGTTTGAACCTGCCACCCTCGGTATATGGGGCTGGCACCCTACCCAGTGAGCCCCAGGCACCACCCTAGAATGGATTTTTTTTTTTTTTTTTGGCAGTTTTT